GCTACAATGAGTTGAATTCATTGAATTCTGATCTCTATTTCTCAATTGAGCAGCTTGTCAAAGCGAAAGCTATCCAACCTGTTCGTAAGCCATAAACTTACGGCGATCGACCGTGTCAAGTAGAGGTGAAACCAAGTTAAGGGTTGCACGTGATCTAGCCGTGGTTGAGCTCACTATTCGTGGGTGGGTAAAAAATGAAAAGTAAATTTGTTTTCAAAGTTGACCAAGAGGCGGGACTGAACATAAAACCATGCGAAAGTGTCTGACAATGATGACATCTATAAAGCTGTTCACGTTTCTTCAAGAACGGTCTGCCGGAACTCCACTATCTGGTCCCATCACCCAATGCAAAGCACACAACTCAGATATGACGACTTTGAATTTGAGGCCAGTTCAGGGTGGTCCTTGCGATAGCAAAGAAGACACACTATCGATACACACAGTCTCAATCCAAGGCGAAGCTCGATCTGGGAACATGGACGCTGTCAGAACTTTTCCCGAAAAACTGAGAGAAATTATCTATGAAGGTGGTTATTTTGACGAACAAGTTTATAATTGCGATGATACTGGTTTATTTTGGAAGCTGTTACCGTCGAAGTCGCAAGCAACAGCAAGCGACCCACATAATATCGGACACAAACAAAATAAACAACGCAATGTTTACAGCAAACATAATCATGATTTTATTCGAATACTGCCTGACACATGTGATGATACATCAATTAACTAAACCGAGGGTTTATATGTTTTTCAATGCACGACCTCCCTCTTTCACGACGTCCCTCGGTAAGTCGCGGCCCTCGATAAGTCGCGGTTTTTGCTTGGATCCCGACACCCGCGACTTAACGAGGGGCCACTGTATTATCATTATACTGATGCCAATGAGGTATATTAATAGAGATTATCACCCACTGTATAATGAAACACAAGTGACACATACATGTATATAATCGACTGACCAACCTTGAAAAACTGTGCAGCAAAGTCGGATGATGTTTGATGTAGTTGGAATACCTCATGGCACTTATACCAAAACGCTTCTCTACCTTCCGATGACTGCCATACTCCAGACTGCTGGACAGAAGACAGGTCTGCTGATAGCTACAGGAATAATATTGGAAAATCACAAAATGGTCTAGACAGTGTAACAATTTCTATGATAAAATTTAATAATGGTTTTGACAATTTTCAATTGTTGGCGAAACAAAGACATAGCTCAGAACCAGATTTAATAACCACCTATGGACAGTGAGACACAACCAAGACACACCAGTAGCCATGCACTTTAATAAAACCAACCACGACATAGACGATATTTCATTTATTGGCATAATAAAAATTAACAAAACAGACGACCACCTTAGAAAAAAACTTG